GTAAAATCACCTCTCTCTCACACAGACTGGCTCAGTAAAATCACTCTCACACAGACTGGCTCAGTAAAATCACCTCTCTCTCACACAGACTGGCTCAGTAAAATCACCTCTCACACAGACTGGTTCAGTAAAATCACCTCTCACACAGACTGGCTCAGTAAAATCACCTCTAACTCACACAGACACTGATATTATGCTTTCTTCGAAGTATTGCAGATCTCGTTTAGCCTAATAACGTGTGATGGAGTTTGCAGAACTCATCAAGACCCCAAAGTTGGACAGAGTGACACTCCTTCGATCATTTCATCCTCCTGTGGAAGGAACTTTATGTATTACTGGACACCATGTAATTTTTTCATCCAGGAAAGACTCCACTGAAGAGCTCTGGGTAAGAAACTACCCATAAAAATTGTTGTTTCTTTCTTTCTTTCGTAGATAACTTAACATTTTTGACCACTTATTCACAAAGAATTTACCTGATAATCTTGTTGACAGTTTACTCGTGTCGGGATTTCAAAGTACAATAAAAAACAAGCAAACAATTACCTTAGTGATGGTTATCATGTTGGTTGTTTCACAAAAAAATCTATTTTAAAATTTTCCTGAAATAAAGTAATTAAAATTTATAATTAGAAAAAAAATTATATTCATCTCTATTATTTTGCCGAGATATTAAACATTTGGAAGACGTTTTTTATTATTTGTAATCATCATCCATCCATTTTATTTATTACCATTTAAAACTTTAAAGACTGCATATATTTTTAATTGGTAAAAAACCAATCAGTTTGTTTTCTCTTAATAAACAGTTGCTTCATCGTATGGTTGATTCCGTTGAACGAAGGATCACCCCAACAAGTAGTAGCATCATTCTAAAATGCAAAAGTTTCCGTGTGATCCACTTGGAGATACCAAATGTGGAAGATTGCATAAATGTGGCAAATTCCGTAGAGTGGCTTTCAAGTATAGGTAGGTACTTGGATGTGTAACTTACATTAAGTACTTAGTTTACGGTATGGTAATTGCTTTTCTGTTTCTTTAACCATTTGCCATATTGCTCTGTGTGAGTTAGAGGTGATTTTACTGAGCCAGTCTGTGTGAGAGGTGATTTTACTGAGCCTACCTCTAGAGCAACCTGTATTACAAAGTTGTATTCAGTATTGTAGAGTATTTTAATGTGACGTAACAAGAAGACATGGACCTTTTAAAGCAGTTGTCTTTAGCAACTTGTATTACTTTTCCTAAAACTTATATTATTGTCAGATGCAAAAATCAGATTGGACAAATTTGGACATTTTTACTTACACTTATTTTAATTTTTTCTACATAGTAAGTTTATCTACAATCTATGATATTTCATATAAATAATTATATTTTAGCTCATTTGTGGCACAGTGCAGCGGCGGGCAGGATGAACTGACCTCGTGGGACAGATCCGGTCCACTGGCCGTAGTTTGGTGACCCCTGATCTAAGCCATAATGAGATCGGCATCAACAATTAGGTTAATCATCGGGACAGATGGACTACTTCTTTAATAACACTTCCTCATTTGACCCCTCACAGCCTGACCCCCAGTGGCACGGCGGTATGTCTGCCGACTTACAACACTAGAATCCGGGTTTCGATACCCGTGCTGGGCAGAGCACAGAGAGCCCATTGTGTAGCTTTGTGCTTAATTACAAACAAACTCCTCACAGCCAACCAAATATATCTTACCCGAGTCTTCTTCATCTTCATTTATGATGAAATCATAAGACACAGTACTCTCATCGTGAGAGTCAATTTGTTCGTCCACTTCTGATCCTGGAATAATACGTTTTCAAGTGATTCACCAGTAATGTAGAGTTTCAGCTGTTAAGTGTTAGTTTCATGTATGCTCACCCCATGACCACATTAACTCATAATTTACTTCATTCAGTTGTCAACAGACAAGATATGGAACAATAAAGCCAGAACTGAGTTTTTCTCTCTGAAGACATACACCACAACCAAACCCAATCACCAAACTTGAAGTTTCATTCCAATACTGTTTTGCTCTAGTATTTCTAATGACAAACTTCATATATCTGTTACCACATAAACTCGTGTATGTCTGTCATTACGGAATTCAACCATTCCAAATATTCCTGTGTACATTTTGGTACCTATTTACTGGCTGGCTGGGTGTATGTCTGTCATTACAGAATTCAACCGTTCCAAACAAGTTAAATATAAATTTTTCAAAAGTTTTCATGCATACAAGTATATTTTTTTTCACTATAGAGCATCAGTCAAGGAACTAGTTAAGAATTTATTTTGTTCTAGGAACATATTCTTCTGGGTTTTCCCGTTTGCTTTCTCACGGGGAATATTTCAGTAAGGTTAAACATGCTAAATAGAGGTGGACAGTGATATTTTCCACTGGCAGGTAGGGGGACACCTTGAGGTAACAACACCCGTTATTTTTCGACGGAAATAACCAACAGCCACGTGAGTGGTACATGTACCCTGAGAAGAAAAGCATTATTATTCCGTGTCCATAATTCCATGTTTTCTCAATATGGAACAGATTTTCACCAGCTACTGGCCAATATTTCTGAGAGTTCTCTCCAATAAAAGTACCCATTCTTCTTGTCTTTTATTATTTTGGAGACGGCTTGAATGTATAATGAAGAAAACTTTATTATAAATGTACAACGTTTCTATAAGTTTTCTTCATTATCTATTCAAGTCATCTCCAAAATTTTACTTTCTAAAATGTGGGTTCCTCGTCATCAAATGCTGTTTTGCAAAATCTGCTCCTGTTCTTGAGAAAAATTAGTACACCTGAGAATAATACAATTCAGCCAATGGTCTACAAACCAAGCCAGCTGTACATGTGTCTGTATTTCCTGTTTGAATGGGCTACTATCCAAGAAGCCTATACAGAAACGCGCGCTAGCTTGAGGCTTAGGGAGAATGGTTGCATCATGTAGTTTATACCTGTGCAAAAGGACTAGTACATGTTCATGGCCTTCAGACATTCTATCAATGTGTGTTATACCTACAAGCAGAAACTGCATGGAAATTGAACAAATATATATACCTGAATATATATATGTTCTATACTAGTTATGTAAGGGTGAAATTTACGACTATTTCGGTCTTCACTTAAAGATAGCATTGAATTTGGACCAAACGGTCCCCTGTTGTCCGTGTGTTATATTATACATACGTACAGTCCACTAAGATGTGCACATGCAAAGGAAATACGCATTATTCTGCTGACTCATAATTGTTTGATGGTAAATAATTTTCGTTTAAAGTTTCTAGTGTGCATGGTATTATTAAAAGATCTCCCAACTTTGGTAAATGTCAACATTTTTACTTTGTAGGTGTCTCTGTAGTTCTGTTAGCAGTGTGTCAATGTACGAGTAAGTAAGCGAGTACGTATATTTTTGCCATTGTTTTGAAGTTTTAGTAATATATTGTAAATGTTTATAACTTTCTTTTTGCAACTAGTATTACGCCCTGTGATATATAAATGAATAACTAAGTTGTAAGGTTGAATTTGACTCAAGGTGTTAGCAGTAACACGGGCTTCCTATGGTACAGCCCCCTGCAGGTTTTATACCGTGACTTAAGTTAGACAGTTAAACACTAAAAAAATAACAAATATACAGCAAGAAAATTATTATACCACAGTTGTTGTCGTTTCACTCCTAAAATTTAGTTTTCATTTTTGATTATATTTGCCTGTACAATCAGCGGTAGACCTGACAATAAATTATTGGAATTAGACTGAGATCGAAGAATTTATTTATACGCATGTTTAAGTATATACGTTTATTATATTTCTGTTAGTCATATCATCCATGGTAATATGTTTAGTATAACAAAAAAGTAGATTTTTCTTTAAATTTTAGTATACAAAGAAATTTAATTTAACAAACCATGGCACATTAAAAATTGTGTAAAAAATAAATTTACAGAGTTTACCTGTAGGTTTCTGCTGGTTGAAAAAACCTAACAGTTTTGTTGGTAAGGGTTACCTCCCATGTATCCTCACAAGCTTTCTCGGTGAATAGAGAAAGGCGTGTTTGTAATAAACATTTTTACATGTATCCATGTTATTTACTACACAAAATCACATAGATGTGTCATTATTCATCAGTCCTCGGGTGTCTACTGATTTTGTATGTCAGTTCGATTCCCTCTGGAATACTGGAGGAATAAAATATGGTGAGTAAAAGAATAAGAATTGAATCCTTGTTTTGTCTAGCATATGGTAGTACGCATTGTTATCAAAAGGGATAATTTAAAGTTGTAATTTTTGGTGTAAATGGTCCGTCCAAAATATTTATATCTTCCATAAGTAGATTTCTCAAAATGGTGTAGGACAACTGCTTTAAAATGTCCATGTCCTCTTGTTACATGATGTTAAAATTCTCTACAAGTTTTGGTGTCTGAATATAACTCTGTAATACAGGTTGCTCGAGATGAACTATTTTTAAAAGTCCATGTCCTTTAGTTACACCACGTTAAAATACTCTACAATACTGAATACAACTTTGTAATACAAGTTGCTAAAGACAACTGCTTTAAAAGGTCCATGTCTTCTTGTTACACCACGTTAAAATACTCTACAATACTGAATACAACTTTTCAGTGAAATAAAAAATTCGGCTACAAAGTTGTGTAACCACGAGCACACTCGTCACACTACTTGTATCAACTGCCTGTAAGCATTGTATCGTCTTACAACAATGCACGCAGAGGTGACTGCAGAAATGAACTCTCATTGCAGGTACTTACACAAAAAGCGCTCTGATATCCAAAGTCGCAAAAAGTTGGCACACGTCTTCTCTATGTGTATTGTGTGTGCTTCTACGTATATTTGTGTGTTGTACATATGTGTTTATATATTTATATTTAAATCTGGAACACTGGTTCAATACCGGGTTTAATCCGTAAAGTCGCAAAAAGTCGCCTGTTGGATATCAGAGCGCTTTTTGTTTATGTACCTGCAATGAAGTTTCCAAGAAAAGCGATAACGAGCCTGCTGCAGCGATCGTGTTTTAACTTGCATTGCCGTGGTTAAACCGTTTTGAAGAGTGCGGTATATAAAAGGGACTGACTTCAATGAATTGTGTCATATATTTTGCATATTTGAGTGTTGAAAGAGTTCACAAGAGGTAAGCATC